CAAACTGATTTGTGAAATTTGATTTTATTTGCAGTGTTAGTGAAAGAATGTAAATGTTGCAGCAAGGATCCAGTGGCATTGTATTCAAGCAGTAAACGCTACAGTGATTATGAAAACATTATTTTTTTTTCCCATGCATTTTCACATACTTTACAAAGACAGCATTATTTCCCCTTTGTAGATGAAGGAATTGAAGTGTAGAGAGGTTAAGGGACTTGTCTGACATCTCAGAGTGAGTCAGAGGCAGAGATTGAGAAAGTCTGGATTTGATTCCTTGTTTATAACTTTATTCACTGGACCATAGTCTTGCTCTCAAGTTCCTAATCCCTTTGTAAGTAACAGATGAGGTGGCTGTTTTCTGTTTTGGGTGGTTGGCTGGCATGCATCATTTGAGTGAAACTGCATTTTCCATATACGGACCGTTTATAACATAACATGGCTTACTGGGTGGGCATTTACGTCTCTATAACCAAGAAAAGTGAGAAACGAGCCAAAAGAACAGCTTAATCCTTACACTGAGACAGTGAATATTTCAGTTCTTAATAGCTCTCCCTCAAATCCTTTTTTAATTTATCTTTTATTGAAATATTTCTGTAGGAGAGATTAAAAACTCACAGGGAAATAATTAATGGAAACAAAAAGTACATACACGCGTTCCCATAGAGCAGAATACTACTGGAGGAATTTCAAGTCTGGGTCCTGTGCTCAGCCTCTCTCCTGTGAAAGTACATCCCATACACATTTATTTTAGCTATTGAAAACTGCTGTTGTCAAATTGGTTCAGCAACATTCTCTCTGTTTTCAAATTGTTTCAGCCAATGATTTAAGGATCTTTCAAAAGAGTTAGTTCAATATGTATTATAGATAAAAAATAAATTATAAATCACTGATCAATGGTGTTAAAATTCCTTTGATTTACTGGTGATGTCTCTGCTTGTAAATTGAAAAGTATCAGGGTACAGTCCCATAGGACTAGGGATTTACCTATAAAACTGATAGATGGGTCCCTCTCAGCTTTTGACACTGTCTGAACACCAGGCCAAAGCAGATACAAGGCAGAGTTTTCGGTCACCACTTTGAATGCTGTAACACATTTGGAAAATGAAAAAAATATTGACTTTGGCAGTCCTCTTGTTCAGAGGCTTTTGGTCTACTAGGCCAGAAACTGAGTCCTGGCACTGCTTGGTTTGCTGGTATTGATGTAACTGTGAACTGCATTATCCCCAGGACAACCAGAGCTTAACAAGGATGTGAATGAGGGATGTAGCCTAGTAAGAACTTGTAGGGAAATAAGGAGAAAAACTCCATCTTTCAGGAATTTGGATTTTGGTTACTTGATGAAGAACTGATGTCATCTAAATTAAAAAAAAAAAAAAAAAAAAAAGTGTAGCTTTTAATAGTAAAATCTCTATAGGAAGTAGCAATTGTAAAATGATTTTAAGTTGAGGGAGGAAAATTTAGGTAGGATGTCAGGCGGAAGTTCTTTACAGAGAGAGTGGTGAGGTGCTGGAACAGGCTGCCCAGAGAAGTTGTGGATGCCCCGTCCCTGGAGGTGTTCAAGGCCAGATTGCATGGGCCCTGGGCAGCCTTGTCTAGTATTAAATGAGGACGTCGGTGGCCCTGCATGTGGCAGGGGGGTTGGAGATTCATGATCTTTGAGATCTCTTTCAACCCTGGCCATTCTGTGATTCCGTGATACTAGAGTTAGTCAATTTATTAACTCAAACTATGGACGAAAACTCCATAGCAAGGAAAAGTTTGTGATACCTCACAACTCTTGCTGGGAAATAGAATTTGAATATAATCTGTTTATGAATTATCTTTAACAAAAAGTGCAGCAGCCTCAACAACTGGATTTGATTTTATTGCTAATCATTTCATGACATCAAGGAGAGATGCTGAAAGGCAATATGTTCAGCCTTTGCATTATGAAACACTGCAAAACTGCTGTCTCTGCAGTGTTCTTAGTAAATCAGGAAATAAATGAATTTGAAATTACTTGAGAACAAACTTGACGGTGAAAGGATTTCGTAATACACAGAAAGATGCTGCTTAAGAGACAGAAAGTGGGGAGAACCAGCTTTTTGGGCTGATTGTGAGATTTTTTGGAGGCTGGAGGAGGATTGAGGATGTATTCCCTTGAGCACCTCATCAGATAATACTGAAAATTTATGGACCTTATTGAAAATCAGACTTCTTCTGTCCAGAATTTCTCAAAAAGAAGTAGATGTATATTTTTGTAAAATATACTAAAACTAAAACTTTATGATATACAGTTAACTACCAAATGTTAGCATTCTTGGAGTATAAAAACTTGGACCATAATAGTTCATTTTGTTTTTCCTTTTGTTCTTTTTCTTCAAGTCTAAAGGAATCAGTAACTCCAGGGATTACACTCCTTACAGCTCCAGACTTCTTAATTACCAACAGAGTCTTTCTCCTCTTTTGGGCAAAGTGGTGTGTGAATCAAATAATTCCAGTAAAGTCAGCTTTTTGTATGAGCTGTTGATAACAAATTAGAAGCTAATAAGGAACAGAGGTTTCAGAAGGGATTTATATGGTCATTAAACAGCCTTGTCAATTAAAGGTACTTGCAGAATATTTTTTTTTTCCCAAAAGGCTCCCCAAAACATTTATTCTGCATCTCTCTCTCCTCTAAATGCCTCTCTTTCTCAAACTGGAAACTTATTGCTCATAGCAAGATATTTTATGTTTCAGAGACATGCCTAAGGAAGAGACCAAGGCCACACTAAGCTTTGTAAGATACTTCGACTTTCCCAGCTGCTCACAGCAAGCAGGTCATACCTTCTGATGCTAAGTTTGCTCTCCATGTTTTCCAGAAGGAATATCTTTTTCTTACTTTTCCAAGCAAAGTTTAGCTTTGTAAGTGACTAGGTCTGAATGTTTTAAACTCCCTCCCTCCTTCCCATCTAAGGCACTCCTTCCCCTTAACAGAAAACATATCACTTCTTGGAAGTTAGTAATAAGACCTGAACATAAGTAGCAGCCATTGCTTTATCTATCACATTTAATGCCTACCTCACTGCATTACTGTAATATTAATCTCACTATTCCCACTTAGACTTTTGAACTACAGAAATGATAGCTAAGCTTCAAAAACAAATCAAACATTCTAACAAAATAGTGAAATGTTTCAAACATTATTACTAAAGCTTCAAAGGAAAATTTTCTTCATGACTTGGAACAAACATGCCTCTGTTCCAATCTTTACAGATTCTTTGTTAGATTTTTTCCCCCATCTGTGTATGTTTGCAAAATCTCTGGAACTTGTTTTTCTTTTCCAAACAATGATAAAACAAATCTAAAACTTATACTTTTCATAGTAGATTCATCCCCTTAGATCCTTCAGAAAATATATATTTAGCTTATTTTCTTACTTTTATACTCATTATCGAATGGAAGTTAAGGATATAAAGGAGGCCTACAGGAAAGATGGGGAGGATTTCTGTGTCAGGAAGTGTGGTAAAAGAACAAGAGGAAACATCTTCAAACTTAACAAAGTTATATTTAGAGTAGATATAAGGAAGAAATTCTTGGGGTAAAGAGAGTGGGGAGGTGATGGAACAGACTGCCCAGAGAAGCTGTAGATGACCTATCCCTGGAGGCTTCCAAGGCCAGGTTGGATAGGGCCCTGGGCAGCCTGATCTGGTGGATGGGAACTCTGCCCATGGCAGGGGTTGGGACTGAATGGGTTTAAGGTCCTTTCCAATCCAAGCCATTCTCTGATTCTATGATTCTGTGATTCTATGATATAAATTTCCCATTGAATACCTGCTATCTCCGGATGCCTTATTTCAATCTAGATTTCTAATTGAATGTATAAACAGATCCTGGTTACCTAAGGATTATCAGTGATTCACTGATGTTAGAATGTTTCAAGCAGCCTCAGTAGTACGATGTTTCAAAGTAAATACATGAAATCAAATGAAAGAATGGATTTTTGACCAGCTGTGTATTAATTTTACAAGGTTGAATCAGACAGGAATCATCATGTCAGTTTGGAAAGTTCTCTTGTGTTCTTAGATGATACTGTAAAAACAGTATCATCCAAAAATTCCAAGTGGCAAAACTCCACAGTCCCTCAGAATTGCTACCCATTGCAGATGATTTAATCCAGGAATCATTTAATAATAAGAATTATTTAGATTTGGTAGTTTAAACCTGATTTCTTCTGAAAGCAATGAGAGTTACTGCTGTCAGTTGTATACATTGGAGACCTATTTTAATTCTTGTACACTTTATGTGCAAGCACTACAAATACTCTCAATTCCTATCCAGAAAAAAGGCAGTGCAGAACAGAAGGGATTGTACTAGTTTACCTTGCTATCTGCAGTACTTGACAAATCTATTGAGCTTCACCTTTCCCTTAATTAAGATCTTTGCCCTCTATACTGTCACTGAAAGAAATTTCCAAAATTCAGTTTCTTTAGTGTTTAGAAGTTTTGTTTTACTTCTAGTTGAAGTTTACTCTTGATCATTTTTTAACCATTTGCTTTTGTGTCAGCATTGTTCCTGAGTCTGAATAGTCTTTTTTATTTTTTTTTCTCTCCTTTCCATTTACCTTTTGGTATATTTATGCAGAACTTTAATATCCACTCTTAGCCTTCATTTCTCTGGGCATATTACCTTGCTTCATTTTAGCCTTCCATACTAAAATCAGCTCTTCGTTCCCTTGATCCCCATAGAAGTTTTTTTTCCCCGTATCTACTCCAGAATGGATGAATTTTTATTGCCCATGAGAAATTAGGATTGTACACAGTATTAGAAGTGATGTTTCACTGGGGCCTTATGAAGGAGGTTAATACTTAAAAAATTTTATTGTGCCATGTGTATTGGAACAGGCCACAAGCTGAAGGAGTGATTGAGCAGCTGATGAAGAGGTGTAGCCAGTCCCAGGAGCACAAGTGGAAGCAGTTAACCTTTGTGACCCTAACCTCATTTAAGGGCTGAAAGCCACAAGGGAAGCATCTCTACTTAGAGATGACCTCCTTTGGAGTGTTTGCTGAGCCCTGATTCTCAAAAAGGGGTAAGGGTTTGCTTCTTTATTACTTTATTTATGACTTCTGCCTTTCTTGGGTGATCCAAAACTGATTTAAAGCAGCAATATCTGCTGTCGCTTGTCCTTGCCCCACATTGTCTACTTCTGTCCAGTTAATGCTCTCTTTTAAAGTAAAAATGTAGTTTCTGATATTGTTTTTTAAAAATGTGAGTCCCAATACTGAAATATACATATGCCCTTCTGGTGCAGGGAGAGGGGCAAGAAGAGTTTAACTAGTCTTTTAATAAAAACAGCAGTGTGTTCTTCACTGGTAATTTGCTCCCACAGATGCAAGAATACAATTAATAACAGTAATTTATTCTGTTTACATGGAGAACTCCATCAGTGAAATAAGTATTATAGCTTTTATGTATTTGCAGAATCTACTGTAATAATAGAAACATCCACAGACCATTTTGCTGACTTCTGAACTAATGGCGGAAAGAGAGCAAGAAGTCTAGAGTTCTCTGAGTTGTAGTGGTATCTGTGTCAGTAAAGGAAGAAAAAAATGCATAAATAAATGAATGTTGTCAGCATCTAATGACAGCTCCTAGATCTGCTATGGCCTGAGAGTTAGAGTAAAGGAGGCTGAAGAAATGGATAACTCTTGTTGAAATGAGGGAGTAGGTAATTGCTTTCTGGATTTGTCTGGTGACTTTCTGAGCCTTGTAGAAACTATCTGCTTGATATCTAGTACGAGGACTACTAGCTCCTGGGCATTGTTACTATGGTATTTATCTTTCATTCCTATGATAAATATTTTCTTTGTATAGGAGAGAGTGGACTGCAATCCAGCTCCCTGGCAGGCTGCCTGCTATCCTGACCTACAGGAAGCAGTTAAATATGTTAGAAAGGTTTAACTCATCTGCCTTTAAATCTGAGTGCTTCTCAGAGTAAGACTTCTTCTGTAACAAGGGTTTCCTAAGTAGTCTAACAACACAGTTCCAGTTACCTTCAGGATGTGAAGGTAAAGATTTAAAAAACAGCTTTTTCCATCTGAAATAAAACCCTGCAAAGCTCTGGGTTAGGAATGTATGCATAAGTAGCCCATCTCTTACAATATGGCTGTAACCTATATGCCAGATGCTGCCGTCTACTTGGAGAAGTCCTGGTTCTCTGTTGACGGAACCCTTTGAGAAATGTTTTAGCCAGCAGCCTGCCAAGCACTGATTTGTTGTCAGATGCTGGAAAAAGTCCTGGCATCATTGTTGCTGCCTGTAGCCTTATTGAACTGCATTTTAATAAACCTCAATGCCTTTTGCCTTTTCAAGTTCTGTCTCTTCAGACTTCTTGGGTCCAGCTTTCCAGGCAGATCCTCCATCCCCCTTGTAGCACAGGTGATAAGCAAAAAAAAAAAAAGAAAAAAAAAAAAAGAAATCTCTTTTTGTGCTGTCACACCATTATATGCTATCTTCTAGCTGTAGTCAGAAACAAACATATCTGAACTTCTGCTTACCTCTTGCCTTCAGACTTCACGTGGAGCTGCTACTTAGGTGATGAGTAACTAGTGTAGCTAGTCTTTGTTTTCATGGTAAATCTGGTGAATGCTTAACAAAACCCAAAACTCTCATAGCTTTCTTTTCTTTCTATCCTCCAAATGGCTGGGTTGAAATTTATGAACACTGTAATTGGATAAAAGTCAAGACTGCAATCTAAGTCTTTTTGACTTACGAAGTCAAAAACTGTCTTTTTGTTACAAAGACAGTTCTGAGATTAAGAAAAAGTTGACAGACTTCTATAGCAATTAATATTTGAATAACTGTTGTCACCATTTCCCTTAGTAATATATCATTTCAAAGGGAATTTGGGGTGTTATATTTATCTCAAAGTAAGCTTGATGGAAGGCTTTTCAAAGTAACTAGAAACTGATAGTTTATCTAAGAATGCCCAGGTTTTAGGCTTAACCAGCTGCCTTGCAATGCTTCTTTGCTGAAGTGTTTTTACTCTTCTTGATATGAAATTGTATTTCAGAAAAAAAAAAAACAACAAAACAACAACCAAAACAGTAGCACTGCTCTGAGATAACAGGATACAAGGAGAAGGGGAAGGGAAATGGTGCTGCCAAGCTTCAGAAACCAAAGTAAGGTGCTGAAGCTAGCACCTCATCACACTAGGGTCCCCTTATTGTCCATACAGGGCAGAAATGTTATCCTATTTTCTCTTAATGCAGTGATATCGAAGATGATTAGACTCCACAATTTGGTGCCTGTAATTTGGTTGGTCTCTTTGTACTCCTACTGGCCAGATATGCCTTCCAGAGATAGGTGGTGTGCCTTCAGTGCAAAGGATGCATAGGGTGTAACCACAATGGGGACCAAGGGTTAATCTGTAATAGACTGCAACAGGAGCAGAGCAGAAGAGTTATGTTAACTAAAGCTGCAATGTACATTGTTTAGTAGGCCAGTCATCTTAAGGGTAAATATAGAAGCGTCACTGTAAGTAACATTAGATTGTTGTTTGTATATGGAAAAGATTCATTAAGAACAAGATACCCAACTGTAAAATCTGTGTTTTTTGTTCTATGAATTTTCAGTTTGCTTTATGCATTTATTCATAGGACATGTGAGATGTTAACTTAGAAGTTTCTTCAAGCACTTGTAACTCTTTGGGGTTGAGTCATATTTCTGTTTCTAAACACAGACTTTGGAATTAGAAGTGTAGATCCCTTCTCTGTTTGAGATGTGCATGGTGTTTACTCCTCCAACTCCTTCATGCTTTTTTCTGAAGTCACTATGTTTGAACAAAGCATACTGGACTATGCTAGTAGTTTGCATTGATTTTGCTCTGAGATAGATTAGCAATGTGAGGTGCGAGGTAACAAGGAAAAATCAAAGAAGCAGCCCATTAACATGGGAGGTGAAGTATAAGCATCCTGATCTTCCACAGATGAATTTCTAGCTTTTGAAATACTTTCAAGGTTTATTCTTCCCGTGTGCACAGACTGACAGGTTGTGTTTCGGATTAGATACAGTCATGCACTTCAGGAGCCATTCTGAAATATTTAACTTTCCATTTTTAAGATTACTGTAGCTCAGGAGTTTGCAAGATAATTAGAAATTTATTGCTGAGCTGGAAGTAACTAGATAATGTTTCTTAAGAATAGTGGAATTTAAGGTCTTATTAACGAAGCTGAGTCAATGTCACAGAGCTATACATCAGATGGAGAGAAATACTTTATCCTAAGACTCTGGTGAGACCACTGTCATCCACAAAATACTTTTTCATTATTTATGGTTATAAAAATAATGTCATAGATTGCCACCAAAGAAATGTGAAGGTGGAGGAAAAAGCACATAACGTTCTGCAATTCAGAGGTGTCTGACTCTACCATCAACATGTAACCAAGACAGGGAATTCTGTTGGATAAATGATTGTCACAGTAGTTTATATTTTATTTCCTATTTTTTTTAATTGTTGTTCCTTTGTGTTGTAACTTCTGAAAGACTGGCTTCTGCTACTGTTTGTCTGGGTTTGTTCTGCAGTCCCCATGGTGTGCAAGTCACCTGTCTAGCTTAATTTAGTTGAGAGAAAGAAGTGTAAAATAGTTATATCTATACTCTGGCAGCTGTCATGAGAAAGAAAACAAATGTTATTTTTATTAGTAGTCAGCTTGCTCTTCCGGTGCAGTGGTTAACATTTTCTGTTGTGGCTTCTAGCTGCTGTCAGCCCTCCCAGCAGTGATTCAGGATCTCTGAGTCACAGCACAGGATTGGGCTGGGGATTTCTGCTGGCTGGGTTTGGTTTATATCTGGGTAAAATCCAACCACACTGAAATATCGGAAATGTAGGATGATGAAGGAAACTTAAGCAGTACTTCCTGAATTAATAATAAAGCAGAAATGTTATATAGACATTGTTTAACAGCTTGGCTGAAAGCCTACACCAGACCTAAGCTGCGGTAATGTTTGAACTAATACATTGTCAAAGAAATATTTTCATCTAATTCATAAACAAACAAGCAAAAATCTTGTAAAAATGCTGCAATTTAGTCACTGTATAATGAATCTAGATGGTGAACACAGTGTTTAAAAAAAATAAAAATCTTATTGTCTCTGAGTTGCAGCTGGAATGGTGTGGAGATGAAGTATTAATCTTTATGGCTTGGTGAATATCCAGGGGGAGTTTATCAAGGGGGTCTTGTCTACTTGTATTTGAGGCAGGCAGACTGCCAGATTGTATGGTGTACTCTCTGCTCATAAAGGCACAGATGTTTTCTTTAGCAGTTTTGAAGAAAATTGAGGTAAATGTCTCCTACTTAAATCTTATGTGAATGAGAAATACAGGCTTCTACAAGTACTAAGATGTCATGGTATGCAATATCAAAAGAAAATAAATTCTAAAAGAACCTGGAGAACTAGGGCCCACAGAATCTTTTCAAATGGAATCAATGCTTAAGAAAACCAATAGATCTGGTAGTAGAAAGAGTCTGAAGAATATGTACAAGTTTGGATTCTTGTGCCTATATACTTAGAATCAGGAATACTTTCCTTTTAGCTTACAGAATCATAGGGGTTGGAAGGGACCTCCAGATCATCGAGTCCAACCCCTCTGCTAAAGCAGATTTCCTAGACCAGGTAGCACAAGTAGGTGACCAGGTGGGTTTTGAATATCTCCAGAGAAGGAGACTCCAGCACCTCCCTGGGCAGCCTGTTCCAGTGCTCCGTCACCCTCACTGTAAAGAAGTTCTTGCGCACATTCGTGTGGAACTTCCTATGCTGCAGTTTCTGGCCGCTTCCCCTTGTCCTGTCTCCACACACTGCTGAAAAGAGTCTGGCCTTGCCACTTTGCCCCCCACACCTCAGATATATATAGACCTGGATCAGATCCCCTCTCAGTCTTCTTTTTTCAGGGATAACAGACCCAGTTCACTTAGCCTTTCTTCATAGGAGAGATGCTCCAGGTCCTTCACCATCTTTGTGGCCCTCCGCTGGACTCTTTCCAAGAGATCCCTGTCTTTTTTTTGTCCCAGAACTGGACGCAGTACTCCA